AACATTTCAGAGCAAAGTTGTTGACTTGTAAGACAGGAAAACAAATTGGCAACAGCCTCGGCTGTAGCACAATTTTTCCATGCTCGGATTCTTTGTTTCCCAGGTGGTGGAAATCATTCAGATCCAGATTAAACCCATCTCACCCTCCCAGCTGATTTAGAGCTTTGATGTCAGGATAAAACACTGAAGCCTGCTCCCTGCAGAACGCTCCACAACAAACCACAATCTTCATTTTGTCGAAGCTTCACATCAGCATCCAACACAAGATTCCCTGCTGGGTTTTCATGCTGGACAAACAAACACCACACAGCTATCCTTCTAGTATCAGCATCCAATACAAATGGCATCAACAGAGAATAAAGGCAAAGCAACTGGTGCGTATTCTTCTGTTTTGTCTCGTCTTATAAATTATTCTGATCCTCTGTCTACCTCTAAACTAGTCACCAGTGGGCTGTCTGTTTGTCTGAGTAAATCAAGTAAGGAAAAAAATCCTGTTTGGTGTTTTGTGCTTTGAGGCCAGAGCTTCACAAAAGTATTTCTTCAGCTGATCTCCACAGCTGCAGAGCAACGCCTCTGTTTTAAAATGCTATTCCCCACTCAAGAAGCATCATACCAACAAACAGATCCACAAGATCATTTGCATCATTGCATTTACATTTAAGAAATGTTATGTTTTTAAAGCACATTTAACTCTCTGTCTCTCAAGCAAGTTTCTACTACTGTGTGTAAATAAAAAATATTGTTGTACACACTATATTTAAACGTGCTTGAATAAAATAAATAATAAGGATTAGAAAAACCTGGCTAGTATTCATCTGTAGTGAGATTATCAGTAAGTTATCAGTAGGGCTGGGTATCATTTCTACAACTGATTCAATCCTGATTCACAAGGTCCTGATTTAATTCAATTCAATTTAATTTTGACTCAGAAATATTATAATTATGATCATTTGTCTTTGTATATGTAGTGTCAAAATAAGCCTTCACACCTTGTATATTAAAAATATTTAATTCAAACGTATTCAGATGAATATTTCTCTGCAATTACATACTCAGTGTAAACTTGGTATAAAAACAAAGCTGACACTTGTGAGACTTCATCAGAGGTGCAAGCGTCACAGCAGATGCCTTTGTGTCAATGTGACTGAGGATAAAACACTAAAAAATATGAAGGAGATTTTCCTGGCCAGGAAATTTGCTTTCTTGTTGGAGATCATTAAAAAAAACAACAAACAAAAACAGCACCCAACAACACTGTACAAACATTTGACTGGTGCACAATAAGCAAGCAAATAATGCAGAATAGGGATTTTTGATGGGAAACTGTTCTTGAAGTACACAGAGAGAGCTGTGCAGGAAGTGGTATTTTATTGTGCTGGAAGCAAAATAGCCAAAGTAACAGGAAATTCATGACAATGTTTTTCAAACGTGAAGCATAGTTTTGATCTTATGCTGCTGGTTCAGTGAATTTTGGTTGGAGAGTAACGAAACCTGCAGTTTTAGAATCTGTGAGATGTCAGCTTTCAGTACCCCCCAGCATGTATGCGTACGTACTGTCGTGTGAATCTGTTTACCTGCTCTTTAATCCTTTGCTGTTTTAACTGTTTGGTTGTTGTGGTCGAAATGAGCCCCAACAAATTCAGCATCCTGGATGAACAGGACTCCACTCACCATCGCACCATTCCGGGAAATTCAACTGAGCCAGGCTCCCAAAAGAAACCTGCATCTCCACTGGCCGGTCCCACAACCTTACAAAGAAACCAAACTTCTTGAGCTTCTCCATGGCCTCCTGCACTGCCTTGCACTACACAGCCAGGCTGTTCCACAGCCGATCCTGCCTTTCTCAGTTCAGGTATATTAACTATAGAGGGGGTGATTTAAACAGACATGTAGAAGTTCAGAAGTTCAACTTCAGTGTATTTACTTTATTTATTAATAGACTCGATTAGCTTTTCTCAAAATGTAAATGAGCCCTTTCATCATTTTTCATACATCTCCTGACTGCATAGAAGATTTAACAGATTTAACCTCTAATCTGACCACTCTCCCCCAACACAAAATCTTGAATAATCGGGCCCCATCATATCTTCAAGACAGCAAAGAAAAACATCATGGTTCATTTACCATTTATCTATACGTAAGGAAACGTTTTTGACAAAGCATGTGAAATACAAGAATTAGGTCATGAAACACAATTATTTTGAACCTCCAGCACTTTGAACACTGCATTCAAATCCAAAGCCAAAGTCCTACTCATTAAACACAACAGGTATCTGTGAATGACCCACTCCCCAACAACAGTAAAACCTCACCGTCTCTTCTGTTGAGTTTGGCAAAGCCTGGCGCATGGCTGGTGGACAGCTGTGAAGAGCTCCTGAAGGATGATGGAGGCAGGCTGGAGACCAGTGGTCTGTCACACACCTCTGTCACTGATTAAAAAAAAGAGCAGAAAAAACATGCAAGGTTAGAACTTCATACAAAATATTGTGAAAAGTTTGTTGTTCAAAATAGTCAAAAAGATTCATAAGAGGTTGTATGTTTGTGCTTTCAATATCTTCTGCATTGCAGACGAAATGGAAATGAAGGAAACTATGACGAGGTGTGCATCATGACCGATATGTGACCCATCACGTATCTTTAAATCGTATTTCTAAATCATGTAGCAAATGAATGATTACTCTCAGTTCACTGCACTTTTGTTGGCATATGCGTTGTTAGTCCTAGATTAAATAAATATTAATTTAACATTAATGTTTGTATTCCTTTACATTTACATGTGTTTCCTCAAAATAATCTAATACTGTGTAGCTGTTGTAATCATCTTTGTAACACACGAGGAAAATCCACTGATTGGGTAATGCAAACAGGTCTGATTCTAGACCAACTGTAGAACGTGGAGTATCATCGGCTTTTCTAAATACACTGATGGGTGATGAAATGCTTCTCCGACTAAAAATGTTAGGTCCAGATGAACAGAATCAACTTTTTGGGACTGACACTACTGTTATGCTCTTCTTTTCAGCCTCTTGGGAGTTTTTCTGGTTTCCTATGGTTTAAATTTGCCCTGAGAGAATCTCGCATTAACTACTGATTATTTTTCTGATTTAACTTCTGATAATTTGACATCAGAATGGATTTTGACCAGTCTCGCAGAAACT